AGTGAAACCATCCGGTATTTTTCTTTCTCTTTCTGGCTTATCTCACTAAGCATGATCTTTTCCAGCTCCATCCAAGTTGCTGCAAAAGACATGTGGTTATCCTTTTTGGTTGCTGAGTAATATTCCATTGTATATATGTACCATAAATTGCCTTCATTTTTAAGGTTGAACAATATTCCATTGTATGTCTATACTATATTTTACTGGCTTTTCCATTCATTTGTTTATGGGCAGTTAGATTACTTCCAAGTTTTAGCTATTGTGAATGTGCTGCTGTGAACATACATGTACTAAGATCCTGCTTTCATTTCTTTGAAATATATACCCAGAAGTAGGAATTTCTGAATCATATGAAAAATTCTATGTTAATTTTGTGAGGAATCACCTGATTGCTTTCCGTAGCAGCTGTTCCATTTCACTTTCCTACCAAAGCTACACAAGGATTCCAGTTGCGCTGTGTCCTCCAACACTTCTTTTTAGTATTAGTCATCTTAATAGATGTGAGGTGGTATCTCATTGTAATTTAGATACTACTTCCAGTAATAATTAAAGAAAACTTATTTTATACAGTCAGGTATTAATGAAAATAACTGCTACTATTCTAAGGATATTATTGAAGAAATTGCATGATGCCTAACATATTTTAAGTATTTTATGATTTGTGGTGAGTTCACTGGTTATATATAAGTGAATTCTAACTTGTTTTCAGAAGGTAAAATGTTAAAAAAATTGAACCAGTGGTGACTGTCTTCTGAATTGTATCCAAAGTTCTGTGAAAATATAAAGTTCAATAAAATTTAATTATTGTCTTGAAGGAGCTGCTTTCACATTAGTCCAAATATAAAACAGGATGTAATGATCTGGTGTTTGGTTCAACTAAGTACTTAGAAATGCCTAGTGGGAAGAATTTTTTCATATTGAGTAATCATAAAAGGAATTGTAGATGAAGTAGCATTGTAGATGAATTGGGCCTTTAATAGATTTTTGATGCATGTTGTAAGGGCAGGTTAGGAAGAAGTCATTGCAGACAAACAGAAAAGTTGAGAGGCAGAATAGCTTGCTTCATTTATGCTTTATAGGAACAGGATATGATTCAAGTTAACCAGAACATAGAAGTTATTTGGTAAATTCTGGGAATTAGATTTGTGGTGTCAGTCTTGGCATGTCAAATCAGATGATTTGTTAGAAATACCAAATCCCATTTTTAGTGTTGTATGATCTATTTTGTCACAATGTGTGCTTCTGAAACAAATTCACTTATATAATTGGCATATATAATTGGGAAGTTTAACCGTTAGTTCAATCACTCTTTTCCAGCATATTAGCATCTTAAAGTAATTAATAACAAACTTTCTGACAATTAAAGAGACCACCTTAGTAATGTAAAAAGATTTTGAGGAAAATACTGAAAGTCTTGTAGAAGCGTTAGTTTATGGTGAAAATGGTGGCTAAATGAGTGACTTCCAGTGTTAGCTTTTGGTGAAGCAACATGTCCAAAGAAGTTTACAAGAAATTTCCCTTTGCATTAAGAACTTTTCTTTGCTGAAAAAGTCTACATTCTGATTTTAATTTTCAGTTTCATTGAAACTGGTTTTGACTAGAGGCAAATGTCCTCAATTCACATTTCAAATGAGGAAAGCAGGAACTTCAGGGTTTAAGGTTTCAAAAGATTGAAGACCACAGTAGTTGGGGCATATTTTTTGAGTGGAGATTTATTGCACCCTTATTTTGTAAGGATTTTCATCATTTCAATTAGGGCTTTGACTACACTATTAGGGCTTTTGACTACAGTTACACTGTAGTAATTTAAGTAGTTTGCCTTAACTATGATTTTCCCAATTCCTGATATTTTTAGTTTTGACTTTGTAGGACTCAAAATATTTTTACCCCAAATGTGCATATTACATTCTAGCAGAAGGGACTCTGCCATCTTTTAAAAGAAGGAAATTCATAAGAGAGTTAGTTTTTGTTTTGTCCCAACTTCTGTGACTGGCTGCAAGAAAGGAAGGAAGGAGGCAGAAAGGCCAAGCAAGCAGAGTTTATTGCTCCCGGACAGCAGCTGAAATGGAGCCCCTAGGGTGGGGTCCGCAGCTACTGCCATCTCAATAAGGGGGAAGGGTCTCTTATATAGATTCTAAACTCAGATTCCAAAGGGGGTGACTCATCATTATGTCCTTGATGTGAGGCCCAGTTCACTGTCACTTCAGCTAGTCTCATCCAGAATGCAAGGTCAGTTCATTACCACTTTATCAAGCTTGGATGCAAGGCTCAATTCTTTACCTCCCTAATTCAGTCCTTGTCAGTAAATCTTTGGTCACTCCCAACAGTTTTAAGTTTAATTTAATTGTTCTAAATTTTTAGTTTGATTTTTTTCTTTTTGACATTTTCTTGTGTGCTGTGGTCATTAAAACCAGTTACAACTCCTCAGATTTGTGTGTATATTCTCCTTCACTTAACTTTGACTAAGTTAAAAACAAAGCCCTAACACCTCTAAATGAACTGTGCTGTTTGGCTATGCTCCGGTGGTGAATTTATCTCCTTAAATGTTGCAAACAAATTTTGACCAGACATAAAGTTAAACTTTTTGAAGATATTTGTATGTGTTTATTAACATTTAAAAAATTACTAATTCCTAAAATTTATTCTCTTGTACATAAAGAACCAGCTGCTTTCTTGGAATATGAGGCCTAACGTGGATATATAAAACTCCTGCTTTATTAGAGCAGTCCAAAACAGGCTTGAGCTCCATATTCTTTTTTTCCCCTTGCCAAGTACAGTTGTGGGTTTTTTGTTTTTTGTTTTTTAAATATATAGTTGACATTTAGCAGTGTATTCATTTTAGCTGCAAAACAACATTATGATTTGATATAGTTATGTATTAAGAAATGACTACCAAAATAAATTTAGTTAATGCATTTCTTGTGATGAGAAATTTTTTACTGCTACCATATGTCACTATAGAGTTCAGTTTTTCAAGAGATTTTGGAAATATGAATTTCTAATGATCTGAGTTTGTGTGACAATTTTGTTTATTTAAAAAGTAATTTTACATAATTTTAAAGAAGATTTTATTTATTTTTTGTGTAGAAGAACTGGGGTGCAGGCTAGAGGTATGAGGGTGGGGGATGAGATGATTGACCAGGGAGGAGTGAAGAGCAGAAAACGTAGATCTACTGAAAAAGTTCTCCAATTTTGGGCCTCTGCAGTAAGTCTCAGCACTATCATCCTATCACCAGTGTGGCCTGATGGCCAGAGTTTGGTGCAGCAGACCTCCTGCCTTGCCCATTGCTCCCTTTAGCAGTGTAGTTCACTTTTTTCCCTCACCACCACACTATATCTATTCCTTTGTCCCTTTCTTCCTACTCCTTTAAACCTAAAAGTGTTTCTGGTTGTCCACTCATTTTTATAAGCAGTTTACTTTATCAAATCATCTGCTGTGCGACCCTCCCTGGTGGCACAATGAGTTAAAGTGCAGCACTGTAAGCTAACCACAGCCGTTTCAGTGTGAGTTCAATCCCTGGCCTGGAGGTGATCCACATTTCAAGGCAGACCTCTCCTGACCCGCCTGCTGCTCCCTTTAGCAGTGTACTTCCTTGATCTGCCTGTTCTGTTCTCCACTCTGTCTCTGGTGAATTCTCCCCTCCCTTGTACCTCTGGCCTATACCCCAGTTCTGTATACATAAATAAATAAATAAATCTTTAAAAAAAAATCTGCTGTGTAAATGTCCAGGATTTATCATTCCAACTTAATTTTGCATTTCACCTTTTTAATTTTTTTTTTAAGGAATTTTTTTTTTTAAGCATATAGACTAGGCTGCAGGCCAGAGGTACAGGGGCAGTGAGAGGATTCACCAGAGACAGAGTGGGGAGCAGAACAGGCAGACAGGTACACTGCTGAGGGGAGCAAAGGGTGGGGTCAGGAGAGGTCTGCTGCACCAAGGCCAGGGATCCTATTTGTACTGAAGCAGCTGAAGCCATTTTGCAGTGCTGCACTTTAACCTGTTATACCACTAGAGAGGGCCATCATTTTTAAAATTTTTATTACAATAATATTTCATAATATGAATATACATCTTGATCCAGTCATTTATGGATGGACATTTAGGCTGTTTTCATGTTCTTGCTGTTATAAATAGTGCTAGAGTAAACTTTACGTGGGGGGGGGAGGGCAGAGAGTTTTGATGGTTTCATGTTTTTTGATTAGATATCAAAGAGTGGGTTCCTAGATCACATAGTATTTCCATTTTTTTTTTATTTTATTTAAAAAAATAAAACCACATAACTTTCCATAATAGCTATGCAGGTTTGCATTCCTACCAATAGTAGTATAATAGGGGTTCTTTCTTTTGCATTCTCCCACTTCTTGCTGGGGGTCTTTTTAACATGTTCATTTCTCACAGTGATGAGAACGGTATCTCATTGTAGTTTTACCTGCAACTCTCTTACTGGAAGCTGTGATGGACATTTTTTCATATACCTATTCATCTGGATATTCTCTTTGGTGAATTGTTCATATCCTTTGTTGATGAGAACTTTTAAAATCTTCATTTTCTTAAATTGTAGGGATAGTGCTTTTGTTTAACTGTTTACTCTTTGTGAAGTGTTTATTTCAAAATATTTAAAATAGAAATATTTTTCTTACTGACCTGTGCAAAGTATAGCCTGTTTCTATTTTTGAGCAAGTAAAACTGTTGAACTTTAAAATAATACTTCATTAATTTTACTTTATAAAAATAGAAAGATAACTTAAGTGTTTATTATGATTTATTTTATCTCTGTGTGTGTGTGTGTGTGTGTGTATTTAAATGTGTTTATGCTGTGCTACTGTGTAGCATTTTGGGGAATCTATCACTTTTAAAATAAAAACACTTTTTGATTACAGAAAGACCCAAATGGGACCAGAAGTTTGCCAACTGGAAGTTCTCTTTTTCAAGAAGTTGAAGTACAGAATGAGGAGGTGGCAGCTTTTTGTGAATCCATTACAAAGTATGGAATTTTTCTTTATAAATTAAAGTTTATTTTTTAAATGCTTAATTTAAAAAACTAACTTGAAACCAGTTTAATGTTAATAATTCTCAACATTTAAAATTTTTATTTGTTTATTCTCTAGAGCTAAAATTTTGACAGTTAATTGGTACATTAACTTAAACTTAGTTTAGACTTCATCCTTACTCATTAGGTTTCTAACTACTTAGAAGAAAACACTGAAGTGAGAACATAGATGTTTTATATTTATTAACCACTAAAAATGTGGCTTACATGTAAGTTTTGGTGCAGTTTTTCTAAAATGTTCTCTCATTCTTAAATATAGCTAATAGTGTTTATAGAGGAGAAAGCGACTCACAGAAGTAACCTGCCAAAATTTACTTAAATAGTAATCCTTTGCCTCTGCTTCCCTGTGTTTTCTTGCCATTCTGTCACTGTATTAGTCAGGAATTCTTTTAGGAGTCCTAAAAATCCCTCTTAAACTAGCTTAAATCAAGGCAGGTTGTGTATTGGTTCACAAATCCACATAACAGGAAGTGAAAATTTGGGGCAGAACTCAGTGACAGATTGAGGAATTTTCATACTATAATTCATTTCTTCTCTCTTCAGACTCCTCCCTTTTCTTTCCCTTCCTTTTCTTGTACCCTTCCATGCATGCTGGGTTCATTTTCTTCTACTGCAGATTGTGCTTTCAGAGGTAGTTAATATGCCTGCTGATAATTAGGCTTCATATTCTAATGGTCTTGGTAGCAGAGTGAAAAAGAACCAATAGAAAAATTCTCAGAAGGAAAGAATGAAACTCTGTGAAGTAAGTGTGAAGCAACTAACATTGGAATTGAGATCTGTTACCAAAGGAAGGGAAAGTAGATCACTTCTGGGGGATTTATTCTGAATCTAGTGGTTTCTTTTCTAGTATGAACTGCCTTAATGCACAGTTTCAGATTCTCAGATCATTTTTGAATATATAAATCACTTTAATGTTAAGGGACTTACTAGTAGTTAAATAAAATTTTAGACTATTGGTTGATTCCTTAAAACTGGCTTCCTTTATGTTAGCTTGTAACCAATATTTGTGTGTGTGTATGTGTGTTGTTGTTGTTGTTTTTCAGAGTATCTTGGGGAAGGGGGAGATAGAAAAACATCAGTAAAGATGTGCCATTGTTTTACATTCTTGTTAATATTTTGATACAGGATTTGTCCCCTCAAGTGTGGTTTACAATTGCTCTTCCTGTTCCCCCATCTTACTCTACCTCTTCTCCTCCCTACCTTTTAAAGTACCTTTTTCTTCCCTGCAAATCCCTTTATGGATATTTTTTTTAATTCAGTTTTCAGCAGTTATTTATAATAGTATTTATAATACTATTTATAATAGTAGAGCAAGTTGTATGTATTAGGAATTATGTTTGTATGCTATTCTACCATTTTGTATGTGCGATTAGTGGCTTGGAAATAATCCCTTTCCTTAATGATTTAGAAATAATCTGTTACCAGCCCTCACTGGTGATGCGGTTTGGGACACAGCACTGCAAGCTAGCCATAGCTGCTTCAGTGCAAGTTCAATCCCCGGCCCCCAAGGTGATCCACATGGCTGGCAGACCTCTCCTGTCTCACCCAGTGCTCCCCTCAGCAGTGTGTTTTTTCAGTCTTCCTGTTCTGCTCCCCACTCTGTCTCTAGTGAATCCTCTCAATGCCCCTGCACCTCTGACCTGTATCCCAGTTCTGTATACACAAATACATGAATCTTTAAAAAAAAAAAAAAAAAAAGCACAATATCATTTGGGGGAAAAAAAATCAGCTATCTTTCTCTAGTTCTTTAGTTTATTACCCACAGAAGCACCCTGTACTTCCTCTTAGACTGTTGAATGACTGCTAGATTTAGCTTTGCAAATTGAGAAATTATACTGCCTTTCCTCCTCTCCCCCACCACATTGGAATCTTAAAGTATTTATACAAACTCTGCATCTAATTTGAAATGATTATTTACACACATATACACACACGGAATAGCTTATGTTTTATGAAACCCAAGTGAGTAAGAGATAATTAATTTTGTGATTTTATCTTCAGTAGTAAAATATGACTGCTGCAGGTATTTTATCAGAGCAGTAGGAGGTAGAGGTGTTTTTGAAGCTATATTCTAAGAACGTCTATGACCAGGATCTATTACATCTATTACTCTATGACCAGGATCAGAAAATGTCTCGTGAAGAAATTAATGACTTTTTTTCAATATGCATATTTCTGTAGTAGATTTTTAAAGCAAATATTTATACTCCTAAGGAACCAATTCTTTACTTTTTGAAATCATCCAAAATTTTTATTTTATTATGTATTATTAAATTATTTAAACCTTTTGATTCATCTATGACATTAGTGTCAGACAGTGAGGCTGATAATTATATACTGTCCAGATGACTGTAAGACTGAGAATTTAGTGCAAGTTCAAGGTCTTGTTTTGGTATTCTCTTTTCTTTCTTTCTTTCTTTCTTTCTTTCTTTCTTTCTTTCTTTCTTTCTTTCTTTCTTTCTTTCTTTCTTTCTTTCTTTCTTTCTTTCTTTCTTGTTTTTTTTTTTGTTTGTTTGTTTTTCTTCTGTGAAATTAGGCAGTTTGGACTAGTGATTCCAAGAGGTCTTTTTCACTTCAAGTTTTATAATACTTTTATTATAGAACTTTTATTTCAGTATGTTTATTAATACTGCTTTTCCCTGGTCTTTATTATTTATTCCTTCCCTTCACGTTTACTGTAATTGATAAAGCTTGCTACTAGTTACAGGTCCCCCAAAAAAGGTCTTATAGGAATGAATGCTTGATACCAATGGGCGTTTTTGCTATTTCATTAGTAGTCTCCTAGGATAAGAGTAGAAGCTTTACCTCATTCTGTCATTCAGTAATCTTAATATATGGCTTAGAGTTGATACTTTTACAAAAGTATGTTGACTCCCTGTATGTTTTCAAGGATTCCATCTTTGTAGTTAGTAAATTTTATTCTAAACAATGCTGTCTCTATTCTTTCCCATAAAGTAGAATTAATTCAGTTTAAACCTTTTAAAATTCATTTTCTTCTCTTCCCCTGTCCTAATTTTGCATGCTTTGCTAATGTCCACACCTAACATTAGCTTGATTGAGCATATTAAGAAAATAAAACAAAGAATTTTAGTGTATGTATAGAGATGTTAAATTCCCTGAACTTGTATAACCACATTAAACAGATACAACTGTTTCTATGGTGGTGATAAGGAAATTTTGGAAAAATTAAAAATATACTATTTTTAGGCAGTTATTTAAGAATATCAAGCAGCATTGTGTGGCAGACAGTATCCATAAAACACCTTACTTGGTCAGTTTAAAGTAAATAATTTACTCATTAGAGCAGTTAATCTATTTACTGACTTAATTTGTTTTGTATGTTTAAAATTTTAGTTGTAAACAAGTTCAATTCTCCCCCAACTCTTAAGGAATCTGTTACCATCTTAGTCTTTCCCAATTTTTAGAAACTAGAAACATCTAAGAATAGAAGAAATTAATCACTTTTACAGAAAAACAAATTACTGTATTTTTCTGGAATAAGTGTCTTCCAGTGTGTAGAGCAGAAACAAATTCCTCATTAAATTTTTTTTATTATGGTCAAAAAATAATAACTTTTGTTATGTTATTAAACATTTTTATACATGCAGATCTATAATGGTACATTTACTTTGGTGTGTAAAAGAGAAAAATGATTTTAAGAAAATGAAGAGGTTTCCCCCAAGATCAGATTCATTGAATGCAATTTTTGTCAAATAGGTTCATGAATACCATGAATACCTTCTTACAATTCTTCTCATTCCCTAGATTTTACAAAGCACTTTGAGAAAACAAAGGACTCCTAGTACTCTAAGGAGTCATTTGTATTTTGTTTTTATTCTGTTGTTGAATTCTAAGAGGCAAAAACAATGTTGATAGGAAAAAAGAACTTGCCAGAAAAAGATTTTTTAAAAAACAATATACTTGTTATTCCTATGGCAGTTACATTACTTCTGTTATCAATGACTCATTAAAAACAAACTATTTTGTGTAATTGTATTGTGTTGCAAAAGAGTCATTGGAACCTCATTTAATATTTTGTATATAGTGTGCCTCTTAGTTAATGTTGAATGTTACCAAAGGTATCCTGGCAGTGCTTAATCTCTTCCCTTGGATTCCTTTTATTTAAAATCATGGTACTTGGCATTTTGACAAGGTTCATTCATTGCATTCTCATGAGCTGCTCTAGAATTGGACAAAAACATAAAGTTGAATGGCTGTAAGTATGCACAACCCTGTTCAGGGCTCTGAAATGCAGCTTAAAAAATTTTTTTTAAACTTCTTTCTTATGAACAGATTGAAGACCAACTTTCCATATACCAGTCACTGCACAAATCCAGGCTATTTGTTAAGTCCAGTCATACTGCAAAGAAACATCTGTGGAGAAAATGCCAGTGTGAAGGTCTCTATCGAAATTGAAGGATTTCAACTACCAGTTACTTTTACATGTGATGGTAGGTTTGTAGTTCCCCAACTCTTGTTTTGCTCTCACTAGGGAGAAAATATATTAATTGTTAGTTTTCTCCTATCAGAGATAACCAACTCTTAAGTATGCTTAAAAAAAATGTTTTTGTGTGTGTGGCAAAATACTTAACATTCTTCAGTTAGCCTTTTCCAAAAAACTTCTTCCTGTGGATAATTTTTCTGGTTAAGACCAGTGGAAAAGCAGTTTATCTTTATGACTACTTATTTCTCTAAGCAGTGCTGTGTAACTTTGGTTAATTAGTGATTCTTGGCGAAGACCCTAAAGCATTAGATAGAAAGACTCATTATATTCAGTGTTTTACTTTCCTTTAATGGCAAGAAGGTGGTTGTTTACAACCACCTTCACTGAAATTGAAATTCCAACCCCATCTAAGATGAAGAAAGTTTTCCTTTGGTTCTAGCTCTTTCTTCCAAACTTGATGTGGGTGTCTTTTCAAGAGACATTATCTTAAAAGATTGTAGGAAACTTTTTGTTTTAAAAATGTTGTATTTTTTCAATTACTGCTCTTCATAATGTATATTATTTTAATGGGACTCTAGCGATTTAATAAGATCCTAATTTTCTGCCTTACTTTGACCTAAAGATTACTCAATTTTTTTCATGTAATGATTATGACTAGAAATATGTCTAAAATTTAGAGACTCTTTTTGTGGTTTTGCACTCCTTTTTTATTTTTTTACATCATTCTTCATTTTGTGTACTTTTTCATCTCAGTTGTAATCCCTGTGGACTTCCACCAGTTCACCTGTGTGCCATCACCATGGTCCAGTGCACTCTTCTCACCCCAGTTCTGATCCCATTCCCCTTTCCGTCCCCATGACATGTCTCTAGTTTATAGTTGTTCATTGTTTTCATTTTTACTCTGTTACATTTGTTTCTCTCCCCTCCCCTCCACCTCTCACCCTAATGCTCCTGCTATGAGTGAAACCAGCCAGTATTTTTCTTTTCCTTTCTGGCTTATTCACTAAGCATGATTCCTTCCAGTTTCATCCATGTTGTTGCAAAAGGCATGAGTTTGTCTTTTTTGATTGCTGGGTAATATTCCATTGCATATATGTACCACATCTTTTTAATCCAGTCATCTATTTTTTTTGGCATTTAGCATTTGCTTGATTCCACATCTTCCCTATTATAAATACAGCAGCAGTAAACATGGGGGTGCAGGTATCCTTTGAATCAGTGTTTTTGTGTCCTCTGGGTAGATACCTAGGAGTGGGATTGCTGGGTCATATGGAAGCTCCATGTTTAGCATTTTGAGAAACCTCCAAACAGCTTTCCATAGTGGTTATACAGCTTGCACTCCTACCAGCAGTGTAGGAAAGTTCCTTTTTCTCCACATCCTCGCCAACATTTGTTGTTGCTAGTTATTTTAATGTGTGCCATTCGCACTGGTATAGATGGTTTCTAATTGTGGTTTTAATTTGCGTGTCCCTTATTACAAGTGATGTTGAACATTTTTTCATATGCCTGATGGCCATCTTCTGCCTTCATTGATAATTTTTAAATACTGATTACATGTTGAAATGATAGTTTAAATATATTGGTTAAATAAAACATTAAAATTGGCTTATTTTTTAAATTAAATTAAGAAAATTTTAAATAACATGTGACCTACATTTGTGACTTGTATTATATTTCTGTTGTTCAGTGCTATCTTAGATTACAAGAAATACAAACTGAATAAATGTGTAGTAACAGTAAAGGGAGAAAAATGAAAATGATGACTAACTCTTTTACAGTGAGTTCGACTGTAGAAATCATTATAATGCAAGCCCTTTGCTGGGTACATGATGACTTGAACCAAGTAAATGTTGGCAGCTATGTTCTGAAAGTTTGTGGTCAAGAGGAAGTACTACAGAAGTAAGTTTATTCTTTAACTACTGAGCATCTTTGTACATTTCACTTTTTATGATTCAAGGTAGAAAAATTGTAAATTAAATTTATAATCCAAAAGTACATTAGGTCCTTTTGAATAGCTTCATTGAATCAATAAACTTATACTGAGATATTTAAGATGGGATGGTTTAGACAGTGGAGCAGTTTAAGAGATAATTAGCATGTGGTATTACCCTTAAAGTTGTTGTCTTAATAGGAAGAGTAGGGGATAATATGATCGTAAGTGATTTGTGTTTTCTTTCTAAAAAGAGTCCATAGTTTTATCATTATAGATATAATGGTAGCATGATTATACATAATAGTAAGCTATGATTTTGTTCAGTTGCCTAAAATAATCATCGTAAAATTTTTCATTAGCCAAGTGATTTATTCTAACATTTAGTCTAGTGTTTTACACATTTTATTCTCTGAAGCAACTAGAAATGCAGTGTCCCTGTTTTTCTTACTTCCTTCTCTTTTATCTTCTTTCTTTTCATTGTTATGTAGAAGTTATCTTCCATTTTAAGTGCTCAAAATAGCTTAAAATAGATCTTCGGAATTTACCATTCATTCTCTTTAATTTCTGTTGTAGACAATTTACATTACACTGTTATCTATGTAATTTCTAGTTTGAGTAGAATAACACTGATGAATAATTAATATATTTTGACAGTAACCATTGCCTTGGAAGTCATGAACATATTCAAAACTGTCGAAAATGGGACACAGATATTAAACTACAACTCTTAACTGTCAGTGCAATGTGCCAAAATCTGGCCCGAACAGTAAGTGCACACCTTATAAATAAATTGCATTTGGTTGAATCTGAATGATTCTGCTAATTAACCACCTTGCAATTTATTCATTCTTTTTATATTTCTGGGCTGGTCTGGGAATGATAAACTCTTTTTCTTCAGTAGAAGTTTCAGCTGATGGGGGACAATTTTTTTTTTAAGATTTATTTCTTTATACAGAACTGGGGTACAGGCCAGAGGTGCAGGGGGTGGTGAGAGGATTAACCAAAGACAGAGTGGGGAGCAGAACATGCCGACTGACAAGTACACTGCTGAGGAGAGCAGGAGCAGCGGGCAGGTCAGGAAAGGTCTGCCCTGCCATGTGGATCCCTCTGGGGCAGGCAGGGATCAAACTCATGCAGAAGTGGCTTTAGCTTCTTAGTGCTGTGCTTTAACCCCCTGCACCACCAAGGAGGGCCCTGGGGGACAATTTTAATTATGAAAGGTTAGCAAGCATAGAGCTGGAAGAGGCATACTAGAAAATCAAAGTGGGGGGGTCCTCTTTGGTGTCACAACAGGTTAAAGTGGAACACGACAAAGCTAAACACAGCCTCTTCAGTTCAGCCTCTTCAGTTCAAGTTCAAACCTTGACCCTGCAGGTGACCCACATGGTGCAGCAGACCTATCATGTCTCACCCACTGCTCCCCTCAACAGTGTACTTCGTTGATCTGCCTTTTCTGCTTCCTACTCTGCTGCTGGTGAATCCTCTCACTGACCCTACTCCTCTGGCCTGTACCCCAGTTCTGTATGCATAGATAGATAGATAATCAAAGTAGGGTCCTCCCTGGTGGTACAAGTGGTTAAGTTTTAGCACTATGAGACTATTGGCAGTCACTGCAGCATGGTCAACCCCCTGCCAGGGAACTAATCCACAAAGTGCAGCAGACCGGTCCTGCCTTGCCTGCTGCTCTGCTCAGCAGTATATTTCATTAGATCTGCCTATTCTGCTCCCCACTCTGTCTCTGGTGAATCCTCTTATCCCCCTGCACCTCTGGCCTGCACCCCAGTTCTTATATGCATAAATCAATAAATCTTTTTTAAAAGAAAATCAAAGTGGAGAAGTTAAAAAGTTGATTTGTATAGTTTTGTGCAGGAGTGAAAACACAGGGAATGTATTTCAAAGAAATGAGGAAAAAGGGAAAAGTTTGTAGTTTTTTCCCAAAAACTAAGTTTTTAAGAAAAAAGATCTATATTGACCTTACACCAAGTTGAGAAAAATACATTATTTTTCACCAAATGGAAACTAATTCTCTTTTAAACGTTTAACCAAAATGGATTTAAGTAAAATAGAATGAAGGAAAATTAAGCCATTGTATTTACTAACTTGGATAAAGAGACTTACTCTTCATTTGGTAGAATTTTATATAGAAAAATAGCAATCATTTCTACTTTACTTTCTTCAAGTTTTGCCTCTGTATTATTTCATTTGGGTGGAAACTGCTTCACAAAATTCAGTACATTTTAGCAATCATTGATGATTTTCTCAGCTTCTTAGGAAATAATGTTTTTGAGTATATTTACATATAAAGAGTTATCATAAAAGAGATCAGTACATTTTATGTTGGGTGTAAGAAGAAACTTGATTATTAATAGGGAAAAAAATAATGCAAAAATTCAGATGATCGCTTCGCCATCTGGCCCATACCCCTCCTTTATCTGGCTGTCAGCCATTTTTAAAAGTGTTTTTAGCTCTCTGCTATATTTAAAACAGAAGTGGTTTTTGCTTTGCTGCTATTTTTATGTCAAAAATCAAACTTTAAGCATTTATATTTTTCTACTTTGAAACCAATTTTTTATAAATAATGATTTACTTTTTAATCTATTATATTCATTTTGATACGATTTTATCATTCCTACTGAGAAAATCACTTTAGTTTCAATAAATTTATTACAAACTTAACTATATTAAAGTTGACAATACAAAGAACAAAAAGTGGATTCAATTTTTTTGGTAAACATATGTTTCTGTTTGGTTAGGCAGAAGATGATGAAACACCTGTGGATTTAAGCAAACACCTCCATCAAATAGAAAAACCTTATAAAGAAGTCATGACAAGGTATTGCATCTAAAGCAGTCATTATAGGTTTTTCAAACATTTCTCTTGTATGTAAATACATTTATTTTGGTGATAAAAAAATCATATTTGTATGTCCTATCGTTTAGCTGCTTTAACTGTTCTTTTATTCAGACACCCTATTGAAGAACTTTTGGATTCTTATCACAACCAGGTGGAACTAGCCCTTCAAAGTGATGTAAGTCTTAATTTACATTTTGACATGAGCACTTAAAGAGTCTCGTATCTATTCCTTTTTAAATGTTCTTGATGTTAGATTAAATATTTTGGTAATATTTAAATTAGATTCTTTTTATATGCATACTGTTGATGCTTGATGACTTCTCGTGACCCGGTTCTATAATAACAAAAACTCTCAATAATGTTTAAACCACATGTTTATTCTTCAGCTTTATTACTAAACAGAATCTTCAGTTGAATTTAAAAAGCACTGAGTGCTTACTATATGCTAGATGCTAAAGTTAGGAAATTAAATAACCTAGTTCCTGCCTACCAAGAAATTAAAATGAGTGATGGGGGATTGTAAGCATTTCAATATAATATTGTAAATGTAGCAGAGGTGTGCATTGAGGTTGGGAGATCAAAAAGGGTACTTCTAACCTAAGGGTTCAAGGAAGGCCTTTTAATAAGGTTGTTACCTGAGTGATGTGTGTTAAATAATGAGTTAGTCATAAAAAAGTTAGGAAGGGAATGCAAAATAAAGCACCCAGTTGTGCTATATAAATGGAAGTATGTAGGCACTTCTTTAATAGAATACAAAATGTGAAGACTGAGCGATAAATATTAGAGAGATTCAAGTATGAATTACCACCTTTAATTCATGTTAAGGATTTTTATTTCAGGTCAGGGGGCTGTGTCCAGTCTACTTTCTATTTTATTTTCTTACATCATTCTTCATTTTGTGCATTTTTTCATCTCAGTTGTAATCCCTATGAGTCTTCCACCACCAATTCACCTGTGTGTCATCACCGTAGTGCAGTGCACTCTTCCCACACTGGTTCTGATCCCATTCCCCTTCCACCCCCATAAAATGCCTCTGGTTTATAGCAGTTTATTGCTTCCATTTTTGCTCTATTACATTTGTTTCTCTCCCTTCTCCACCCTCCTAGCCTTTTAACTCTTGCTATGAGTGAAGCCATCCAGTATTTTTCTTTTTCTTTCTGATTCCTAATTTTTTTTTAAAGATTTATTGATTTGTACATACAGAACTGGGGTACAGGCCAGAGGTGCAGGGGTGGTGAGAGGATTCACCAGAGGAAGAGTGGGGAGCAGAAGAGGCGGATCAGAGGAAGTGCACTGCTGAGGGGAGCAGTGGGCAGGTCAGGAGAGGTCTGCCTCACCGTGTGGATCACCTCCAGGGCAGGCAGGGATCGAACTCATGCATGGGGAAGTGGCATTAGCTTCTTAGTGCTGTGCTGTAACCTGCTGCGCCACCAGGGAGGACCCTGGTTCCTAATTTTTAAAAAATAGTTGGAACACAGTCATGCCCACAGTCATGTTTATATACTGTCTGTTACTATATTTATGCTCTAACATTGAAGTTGAGTTGTTGAGGCATAAAGATAATATATGGACTGAAAAGCGTAAGCTACTTAACTATTGGATATTTTACTAGAAAAGTTTGCAGGAGTAGTTTTAGCTGAGGATAGGGAGTAAGATGAGGTGTATGACTTGTTTTGTCCTTTACTCTTGAAGTTACTCTGGCCATACTGTGAAAGTTACATTTATTGCTGGCAAAATTGATTTCAGGGATACTTTTTTAAAAGATTTATTTATGCATACAGAACTGGGGTACAGGACAGAGGTGCAGGGACAGTGAGAGGATTTACCAGAGACAGAGTGGGGAGCAGAACAGGCCAACTGATGAAGTACACTGCTGACGGGAGCAGTGGGCCAGTCAGGAGAGGTCTGCTGTGCCATGTGGGTTACCTCCAGGGCGGGGATTGAACTCATGCGGAAATGGCTTTAGCTTCTTAGTGCTATGCCTTAACCCGCTGCTCCACCAGGGAGGGCCTCTCAGGGATACTTCTTAAAAAAATTCTTTTTTATGATGAGCCAAGTGAAAGATAATGAGTATAGTGATGATGAAAAGGAGGAAGTTGATTGGTGAAATTTTGATAGGTAATGCGTTATAAAAGAAGAAATAGTATAGGGTGACTTTCAGTACAAGTGACCACTTGTACATTATCAGCATATATAGTTTTGTACAATAAATGTTCACTGAGTATCTCATTTTGAATTCCTGTTAACAGCTGCTGAGAATATAATAGTTGAATAATCCTGCCTCTTTAGTTTATTTTCTAGTTAAGGATAGGCAATAATATAAAATAGCAGAAGTTTATTAGTTGGTAAATGCTATAGGTAAAAATCAAAGAAGGTAATATTTCAGTTTCAGGCTTCATTGAGATGAATTTGAACAGGAAGTAGAGGAAGAAAGAAGCTATCTTGTCTAGATAGGGCAGTATTGTGCCTGGTAATTAAAGATCTGTTATGTTTTTGTTACTGAAATAAGGTTAGGAGGGGGCAAGAATAGAAACAGAAATAGGAAGATGTTTTCCTAGTCATGGGAGACATGATGACGACTTGAACTAGAGTGATTGTAGTAGAAGCTGTGATAAGGGGATGAAGTCTGTGTTATGTTTTGAAGGCAATACAAGATGATTTACAGGTAGATTGATTGGATATTGAACATGTAAGAGAGAACGAAGTTAACATAACTCTCAAGATATTCCACGTGAGTATCTAGAAATTTGGAGTTGCCTTTTGAGTAATGCTTGGGGAAAGGAAGAGGTTTGAAAGGAACTCGGTTTTAGACATTATGTTTAAGATGACATTCATTTGAATAATGATGCTAAGTCTGAAACTTAATGAAAGAGGACTAGGCTGGAGAAAATAGACTTGAACATCATTAGAATATATATAATGTTATTTTGCAGATCATCATGAAAATAATTGTAGGTAGGGAGAAAAAGAGTTGAAATTAAGATAGGAGTACACTGCCTATATTAGTATAATATTGCCCATATTAAGATAAATGAAAAAGCCCACATTATCCTGTAGCAACCTTCCTACATCTCTATTCTTTTTGCAACAAAACTCCTGAAAATAAGTCTTTTTTCTACTTCTGCTTCCTCTCCTCCCGTTCTTTTATGAACATGTTCCAATCAGGCTTTCATTCTCAACACTTCTTAGAAACTTTACATTTTAAATCATGAAGGACTTCCATATTTAGTTCCAGTAGTAAGTTCTTAATCTTTATTTTTCTTAGCTTTTCTGCTTTATTTGGTGGAATTAAAATTTTCTCCCTTTTGAAATACTTAACTTGGCCTTGGGGATATCACCTTCTTGCTTCTTCTTTGTCTCTTCTTTGAAGAGGGAATTGCCATCATGGCAGAATATATAGATTGCCTGTGGTAAAGAAACTCACCAGGGTTATCAGATTGGGGGAATTTGAATTGATGGTATAGCTGGAGCTGGTCTTGAAAAACTGGGTTTTCAGGGTCCTCCCTGGTGGCACAGCGGGTTAAAGCACAGCACTACGAAGAGATCTGCAACCACTGCAGCTTGAATTCAATCCCTGGCCAGGGAGGTGAACCACATGGTGTGACAGACCTCTCCTGTCCCGCCTGCTGCTCCCCTCAGCAGTGTATTTCAGTTAGTCCATTTGTTCTGTTCTCCACTTTCATCTCTAGTGACAAAAGTGAACTGGGGTACATCTGGCCTGTACTCCAGTTCTTGAATACATAAATAAATAAGTCTTTTTAAAGAAATAATAAATGGGAAACTGGACTCCTGATGAGAATTGTCTTCATGCTATTCTTGCCTTTGACTGTCCTTTTAGTGCCCTCAATTGACAAAACCTAACATTATGCCATCTGGAAAAGGAGGAGTGTTGATAGGTTAGTATCACAAAGTAGAGCAATTAAGGGTGGGTAGACAATAATAACTGGCCTGTAAAGAGTGGTGAAGAATGATATAGGAGAATGGTATAACGAAAATGGAAAGTTTTTTTGCTTAAAGGTACAAATAAATTAAAAATAAGTAAATGAAGGGCCCTCCCTGGTGGCGCAGCGGGTTAAAGCACAGCACTGAGAAGCTAAAGCCACTTCCGCATGAGTTCGATCCCCGCCTGCCCCGGAGGTGAC